CTCCCGCTGCCCAGCCCCAGCCCCGACACCAGCAGGACGAACCTGGGTGGAGAGGCTCGGGCAGCACGCGCGCCGATCCCTGCCCGCCCGGCGGTGCCAGGGCTGCCCACACCAAGGGGCTTCGGAGAGCCAGGGGCGGGGGGGCACAAGTGTCCATCTGCGATCCCTCTTGGCACAAGGGGCAAATGGGTCCCCAGGGGGCTCAGGGATACGGTGCGGGGCACGGGTCCAGCCCCGCTCCTGTCCCTGTGGACTCACTGGTCTGAGCTGGGGCCTTTCCAGGGCAGCGGCCGGGGCAGGTCGGCGAAGCAGTGATCCTCCACCAGGAACTTGCCGCTGTCCTGCTCGGAGCCATACACGGCAAAGATGGTCCCTACGGCAGAGAGCGGGCGGTCAGCCCGCAGCCAGGGCCCGGGAGGTGGCTCCCACCGACAAGCCATCGTCCCCTACCTGTCACCAGCCTCTGCACCTCGACGGCTCCTTCCAGCCTGATCCGCTGCAGCTCGTCCTCCAGAATCAGCTCGTCGGAGGGGTGGATGTACTTGGGCAGGGGCGGCTGCGGCACCAGGTTGTGCTGCGGGGAGGGGACAGGGCAGGCCGTGACGGCCTCAGCGAGGCCAAGCTGCCCCAAAAGGGCTCTTGCCCTCCTCTCAGTCAAACCCTGCTCGTGGAAACCGGAGCATGGGCGCCTGACTCACGACAGCCGCCGTCGCGGCCCCCCCCCCCCCCCCCCCCCCCCCCCCCACCGCTGGCCTGGCTGTTTTGGAGGCCCCGAAAGCTCTCGGCACTGCTTGCCAGCTGCACGCCGCCTGGATGAGCTGGTTTCACTTAACGCTTCCCCGCAGCACGCTGGCGAGGCGCACACATGTGCGGGTCCCCGGCCAAGGAGGAAGTGGCTCAGCCAGGCGGCGGGTGACGGTGCTCTGGCTTGCCTCGAGAAACGTGTTTGCAATCACCACCCGGGCAAGCGCTCCGCTCCCTTTGAAGCACGGGGCTAACCTCATGCCGTGACGAGCAGGCTCCAAACTTCCCAACGTGCTCCCCGTGAGCTCGCTGGGAGCAGACAGACCCCCCCCCCAGCACTGCACGGGGACTGTGGAGCTTCCCTGGTGCCCCCCTTACCCCCCTCCCCTGCATCACGGAAAGGGGTTTGTTCTGCTGATCCTGCTGAACCCAAACCCTCCAAGGGCAGGAAAAGCAACACCAAGCAGACACATGCACGATGCACGCTGGCACAGAGGAGTGGCCCCAAGAGCGGTGGCATACGCACAGAGATTTTACACTGGCTCCCCAGGTCAAAGCCCTGACAGTTCCCATTTGCTCAGCCACAGTGAGCACGAGGGAAGCGATGGGAAGCCGGCCGAGGTCCCGGTGTGTTGGCTCCCCCCACAGCCATGTGGAGGGGCCCACGGGAGGGAACGTCCCCGCCGTTACCTCCTCGCTGATCTCCTGCAGGATGGAGGGCTGCAGCTGCATCGCCTTGAAGAGCGTCCCCACCACGCAGCACTTCTCTCCTGCCTGCAGCTCACAGAGCTTCCTCAGTGTCACGTCATTCCCTGCGGAGAGAAACAGGCATCAGTCAGTCTCTGTGAGGGCAGGCAAGGCTCGAGGCTGGTCAGGACCGGCTCAAAGACCCTGAACATTGAGGCCAGCAAGAGGTGGTGGGCGAATGTTGCGAAGCCTCTTGTTTTTCCTCGAGGCACAGAGCCGAATCCACATGTGTAGGCCAGATGGGGCCAAGGGAGCGTATTGGAGAGCCAGCACTGCCTGCCGGCATTTCCTCTGCGTTGAAGTGGGGGAAAGCTGGGTTGTGACAGGGTCTGGGGGACCCAAAGCTCCCAGCCACCACCCAGGACAGCGCACAGAGCGCCTGCTGGTTCAGCTCTGCCTGGGAAGGGAGAGTGCACAGGTCAGCCCGGCCACGGAGCCAGTGCTCTTGCCCTTGGGCACGAGGGGCTGGTGTTCCTGCTCCCCATCCCCACGAGGACCCAAACATCTCATTCAGATCGGACAGGCAGGAGATTGCTCATCACCCCCGAGTCTGACCTCTGCCAGGGCCAGATCCCCCGCCCGGGATCCCCATCACAGCTGGGCATTTGGGAAGATCCCAGCATGAAGACAGGCTGCTGGGGGGTGGCAGGGTTTCCTCTGCCTGAGAAGCACAAACAGGTCCCTGGGCTTTGGACAGTGATCCCCAGGTGGGTACGGGCCAGAGGAACCAACACGTGCCTCAGGAGGTACAGAGAGCACTGCAGCCCCAGAGCTTCATCACCTTTGTGGCTGGGAAGCATTTGCAGACAGCAAAAAAAAAAAAACCCCCACACCTCCCTCATCACAAGCTGAGCCCAAGACTTCTCACCTCCCCCACGAGGGCCCAGAGATGCGTCACCCCAACCTTCACGTGTCTGTAGGGCTTATTTCCCCCCTGTTTAAATCAACCCATGAAGCCCATCCATCCCAAGCCTGAAGCCCTGGAGGGAGGAGGACTGGCTGCCAGGCTGGGCTGGCACTGCGAGAGCTGCTGGGCTCCTCTCCCAGAACAACACTGCCAAAGCCCGCTGCCGTGCCGGCTCCTCCGTCAGGTTGTCCTCTCTGGCTGCAGGCAGCGGGGTGATGTTCCCTCCCCCCAAAACTCTCCCTTTGCTAATCACGTGCCTGCTGAACGTGACTCCTGTCTGGTGGAAAGCACCCTGCTGCGATCACAGGCACCCCGGGCTCAGCAGAGACGGAAACACGGGTTCATCAGTCCCACCAATGCAAACACTCAGAGTCAGAAAAAACAATCCTGTTTTAGTTTCTTATTCTTGGCTCTAACCCCCCAAAACGTGTGTGTTTAGGGGGAGGGGGGCCGCTCTCTCCAGATTTTGCCTGCAGGCGCTTCTTGCTGTGAGACAAACCCCAGAAATCTCATCCCATCATATGGCTCCGAGAAGTGGAGCTTTACAAAACCACTGGTCCCTGTCACCCTCAGCAAAATCCAGGGTTACAGTGCAGGGCGGCCGGCCAAGGAACGACATCCGCTGTGGAGCCGGCACAGGCTTTGCTTCCACTCAGCTCTGCGCAGCCCACAGGGCTGGGGAGACAAAGGAAAACAAGCGGCCAGCCCGAAAACCTCCATAGAAGGGCAAAGCCGAAAGCTTGGCTGGCCCGAGAGGGTGAAATTCGATAACAGGCTTTTACCACGCTCGGGGAGCTGCACGCTGCGCCGAGGCCTGCCAGAAAGCTCAGCCACCGCGCTCTGGCAGCAGCGATGCGGTTGCTTCATCCAGCGCCGCCGTTACGCCTTCGGATGGAAACTCTCTGGTGTGAGGATCCCACCCGCTAACCGCTAACACGGCCCTGCCAGGCACGGAAATGACCCCCCCCCCTCCCCGGCCCCCCGCTTCCTGGCCGGGGCACCCACCAGCCCCTCACCCCGACAAACCTCATGCTTTAGCTTGCACTCCTAACAGCGAGTGGAAATTTTGACCCGGCCTGGTGAGCAATAAAAAGGTTTTCTCTGAAGAGCTGATGTGATTTTGGAAATGTTGGAGGGATGCTCCTGGCTGGGTTGGACATCATCTGGCAGAGAAACTGTCTCCAAAAAACCCACCCATGGGTTATCTGTGCACTGGCGAGCAAGAAAAAGGTTTTCTCTGCACAGTTGATGTTTAAAGGTGATTTTAGAAATGTTGGAGGGAAACCACCCGTGGGTTATTCGACCTCTTGACGCGTGTGTGAGCTTTGGAACCGATGGCAGCACGTGCTGAAAAAAACCTCCGGAAATCTTCCAGCGGGCACCGCGTGGCTTTGCCCTCCTGCCTCAAGATTGGCGGGGGGGGTGGGTGGGGGGGGTGTGTATTATTCCCCAAACCAACTCACCCCACTTCTGTCGCGCCCTCTCCTCCAGGATGGGCCGCATCTGCATGAGGCGTGCGGCGTAGATGTGGGCGTACTGGCGGTTGAAGCTGCGCTCGCCCAGGCGGAAGGGCTGGGAGCAGTCGGCGTACGCGGAGACCGGCACCCTGGCGAAGGTGGAGGCCTGGGCCGAGGGGGGGGCCAGCAAACCCTGCGCCGTGGGGGCCGCCTGCTCCGAAAACATGGCAGGGGCCGGGCTGGAGCCACAGGGTGGGCGAAGGAGGGATTTAATGGCGGGTCTGGGAAGCAAATGGGTAAATTAAGGATCTCAGCAAATTAAGGCCGGCGTGCCCCTCCTTGGAGGTGCCCCCCCCCCCCCAATTGACCCCCTCACCTCCCAAAACAGACCTAGGTTTGACCCCCCCACACCCCACCAGCACCCCCTCTCCTTTCCCTCCCTTCCAACACCAGCGCACCCCCAAACTCATCCTGGTGCCACCCCCCCCCCCCCCCCAGAATCCCACCCTGGCAGCAGAACACACAAAGGCGCTGCCCTTCCCGCCCCCCCCCCCCCCAAATACCCCCTGGAGCTCCCTATGACCCCCCCAACACACCCCGAGCACCAGGAGCCCAGCACAGACACGCTGGCAACAGCCCCCCCCCCCCAAGGACACCCCCTAAACACAACCCCTGGCACAAAGCCACTACCCCCCCCCCTCCCCGGGGCACCAGGACCACCCCCCCCCCCCCAAATCAAATCACCTCCTAGCACCAGGACGCCCGAGGACACCCCCCCCCCCCTCAAAACGCCCCGTCCCAACCCCCGTCCCCCGCCAGGGAATAGGTCCCTCCCGTCCCCCCCCCCCAAACACGGGTCCTCCCAAAAGACAGCAGCACCCCCAGGGCCCCCCCCCCGGGCGCAGGTCACGTACGGGGTCAGAGATCGGGGGTCGGGGGGGGCCGCCAGCCCGGCACCGCACACCCGCCATGGGCCGGGGGAGGGGGGGGAAAAGGCGCGAACGCCCTAAAGGCCGGAAGTGGCGGGGCGGTGGGGAGGAGGTGACGTCAAAGCGGCGGGTCGTCATGGCAACCGCTGATGGCGGCGGCGGCGCTATGGAAACGGGGGGGGGGGGGGGGGACCGGGACCCCGCAGAGGATGGGGGGGACACCGGGGCTGAGCCCCGGGGATCCGTGAGGGGACGGGGGGCAGCGGGACCCCACGGAGCCCGGGAGGGGACGGGGGGGGACAGCAGGACGGACTCCCCAGAGGGTCAGGCCCCACATCCCTCGTGGGGTCCCCACTCGTCGCACCCCCACTCTCGCAGCCTGAGGCCCGCAGGGGCTCGCGGGTGGGGAGGTGTTATTTGGGGGGGCCCCAGGGCTCGGGCCGGGCCCCCCCCCCCCCCCGTCTCCCCTTCCTGCCACGGGGGCGGAGGTGTGAGGGAGGAAGGGGGGGTGGCGGCCAGTACCGCACCATTTTTAGGGCTTTTTGGGGTTTCGACAGCAGTCCCTGCAACCCAGTCGCCGGGCTATAAAAGCCGCCGAGGTGGGACGTGCTGGTTGTCACCTGCTGTCACCCTCTGAATTGGGCTTGCCATGGCTGCTTCCTTCCTCTTGGCACTGGTGGCAGTGGGAGGTAATGGGGGGTCCCTTGTGTCCTGGAGGGGGAGGGATGGCATGGGGACAGGCACCCTGGGGTGGGGGACACCGGGGATGGACATGGGGACAGCAGGGATGGCAGCCTGGGTGGCAGCGTGCTTGGGGACAGAGGGACAGCGGGGGCTGTGGGGACCTGGGGCTGGCAGGGACGGGGTCTTGATGGGGATGTGCACCCAGGGATGGGGGGGGGGGCGTGGGGACAAGCAGAAGGGATGGCGGGGACAAGGCCTGCGTGGGGGGCCAGGGACGGTGGGGACGGGGTCAGTGTGGGGACCCGGGGAGGGCAGGGATGGTGTCCGTGTGGGGACAGGCGTGTGGGGGGGTGTCAGGGATGAGGTCTGCGTGACAACCAGGAAACGGCAGGGATGGGATTGGGATGGGGACCTGGGGGTGGTGGGGACAGGAGGAGATGGGGACAGGCGGGAGAGATGGCGGCGGGGACGGGGGCTGAGCAGAGTCAAGCACTCAGGGCTGGTGGGGACAGGGTCTGGGCACCCCCGGGGTGCTTACTGTCCCCTCTCAGTGTCACAGGCCGCGGTCCCCGAGCCCTGCCAGGGTGGCCCCATGTCCTGGTGCCAGGACGTGGCCACCGCCGCCAAGTGCCACCGGGAGCAGTACTGCCGCGACCTCTGGGACAGCCTGGTGAGCCCCTGCCCCGCTGCCCCACGGCCTCTACACCGGCTGTGGGGAAGCCCCCCCCCCCCCCCGATCGTGCCGGGGGCCATGCTGTGGCGGGGGTCCGGCCCAGCCCTGAGGGTCCGCATTGTCCCCCCCCCGCAGTGGGATGCGGCTGAAGGAGACGTGGCCGAAGAGGACGCGGCATTGCCAGGCAGGAAGAAGAAGTGCAGCCTGTGCATCAAAATCCTGGAGCAGGTCAAGGCGATGGCAGGGGAGGACCCCGACGAGGTGAGGGGGGGGTTTGGGGGAGCGGGGCGGGGGGCCAGTGCCCCACAGGCGGCCCCGCTGATGCGGCGGGGGGCTGGTGCTGTCAGGCAGCGGTGGAGGCGGCGCTGGGCAAAGCCTGCCGGGCCGTGGGGAAGTACCTGGGCCGCCTCTGCAAGCGGCTGGTGAAGAAATACCGGGAGCAGCTCAGTGAGGCGCTGCAGAATGGCGAGGACCCTCAGGACACCTGCGCTGCCGTCGGCTTCTGCAAGGCCTGAGCCCGGTCAGCACCCCCAAACCCCACCCTGCAACCCCAAACCCCACCCTGCACGCCTGGACCCTGCCCCGCACTCTGCATCCCGCACCTCGCATCCTCCAGCCTGCACCCCATGCCTCTCCCGGGGGTGGGAGGGCACCTGGGGGGTCCTGTGCCTCCAGGAGGGAACCTGCCCGCATCTCTGTAGGGTGGGGGGGTGAGACAGGGGACCCCAAAATACATCCTGGAGCGGTGGGGGGGTGAAGGTTGGAGGAGACACTTCTTCTGGCATCCGACTTGGGGTGACAGTGGCCCCCAACTCACTGCTCCTTCCTTGTTTCCGCAGGGCTCAGCCCCACAGCCGGCCCCAAGTGCCACCCCCTGAACCCCGAACCCTCTCCCAGCCCCACCTACCACCCCGGCCCCCAGATCCCCCTCTCCCTGCAATAAAGCATCTTGCCCTGAGCCACCACATCTCCTGGGGATGGTGGCCCTGCTGGGGGTCCCCTGGGAGCCCATCCTTTGTGGGGGGGGTGGCTGTCCCTTGTGTTGGGGACACCAGGAGCTGTGCAGGGGCGCAAAGCTCAGGCTGAACAGAGCCACTTCCCTCCCCGGGGATGCTGCAGACGGACGACATCCCCTCGTTTGGTGATTTATTTGGCTAGAGCAAGCAGCGGTGGGTTGGGGACTTGCTGTCCCCTCAGTCCTCCTTCTCGTCCCCGTGGGTGATGATGTAGCACAGAGACTTGTAGTCTATGTCCCCTGAGATGTCGATGGGTGTCACCGCAAACATCTGCTCCACCTGCACGGGGACACGGACCCGGGGGGGCTGGGATGGGTCCCTGCGGGGTGCCATGCAGGGACGGGGACATTGCAGGACACATGGGTGACCTTGGGGGACGGGGTCCGGGATCTTGGGCTTGGGTATGGTGGGGGACACCTGGCAATCTTGAGCACAGGGTCCCTGTGGGGCACGTCGGATCCCAGGAGCGGGGTTCGGGATCATGGGGATGGGGCCAGGCACATGGGGACGTTGGGGACAGGGTCTTTGGGGGACACACGGGGATCTGGGAGCAGGGACCGCCCGTGGGCAGGGAGAGGTGGGAATCCTGGACACCCGCTGCCTCCGAGAGTCCTGCTGCTCCCTCTTTGTGCAGGGACACAGAGGGGGACAGGATGGGCAGGGGCCAGCGCAGGGGACCATGACAGGGACAGCCAGGGGAGCTGCCTCACCTCCTCCGGGGAGAACTTGTCCGCCTGGGTCAGGAGGAGCTGCCTAAACCTGCGGGAAAAGGCACCAGCTGAGCCTGGGGTGGGCTCCTGTCCCCATCCCAGGGGACACAGGATCTGGGCGGGTGCGTGGAGGGTCCCTGCCACCCCCCCCCCCCCACTCACTCATCCTTGTTCACAGTGCCGGTGCCGGTGGGGTCAAAGAGCTTGAAGGCGTTGAGAATGGACTCCTCGGGGTCAGTGCCTGGGGGGGGGGGGGGGGGAGATGTTGGGTGGGATTTGGGGCCAACCCCAGGGGTTGTCAGGGGTGTTGGGGGACACCCGGGGCCACTCACCACTCAGCTTCTCCCTGAAGAGTGTCAGGAAGACAGTGAAGTTAAGGGACCCCTTCCCCTCCTTCAGCATCTCCTCCAGCTCCTCGTCGCTCACGTTTGTCTTCCCTGGGGGTGGGGGGGGACGACACACAGTGACAAGGCCACGCGGCACTGGGCACAGGGGACAGCCTGGCCCCGGGAGGAAGATGCCAACTGGGGCACAGGGACGTGTCCTTTGGGACATAAAGCGAGGAGCTCCCTCCACCCACCCTGGCTGTCACTGCCATGGGCTTGGGATCAGCGTCACCGTCCCCAACCCGGCACCGTCGCCGTCTCACACGTGGCCATCACCAGCGGTGCCCACCCTTGACATCACCCCTGCCCCCAGCTTGGCCCCATCTCTGTCCCTGCAATTGGCACTGCCACCATCCCACGCTTGGCACTGTTCCTGGCCCCAGTTTGGCACTGCCATCGCCCCACTTGGCACCGTCACCGCCCCCCCCCCGACTCAGTGCCACCGCTGTCCCCGTCCCGTCCCCACGCTGACCCAGCTGCGCGTAGGTCTCCTTCAGGTCTGCCTTGGAGATGATCCCATCCCGGTTCTGGTCGATGCAGCTGAAAGCCTGGAGCAGAGCAGGCAGGAGGGTCGGGGCGGGGGGGGCGCCGAGCCATGGGACCCCCACCCAAGCCCCCCCACCCCCCCCCCCAGCCCGCTACCTCCTTGAACTCCTGGATCTGCGACTGCTCGAACATGGAGAAGAGGTTGGAGGAGCCGCGCTGGGCCCGCCCGGCCGCCGCTCTGCCATGTGTGCCCGCCCTCCCAGCCTGCGGGAGCCAACCGGGGCACGGGGGGAGCCTTGCGTCAGCCTCAGCCAATCGGAGCACAGGGAATCCCCTTCTATTGGTCACGGCCAACCAGAGCACAAGGAATCCCTTTTTGGTCCCCCAGCCAACCAGAGCACAAGGAATCCCTTTTTGGTCCCCCAGCCAACCAGAGCACAAGGAATCCCTTTTTGGTTCCTCAGCCAATCAGAGCACAGGGAATCCTCTTTTATTAGTCACAGCCAATCAGGGCACAGGAGCCCCTTCTTGGTCCCTCAGCCAGTCAGAGCACAGGGAATCGCTTTTGGTTGGTCCTGGCCAATCAGAACAGAGAGAATCCTGCTGGCTGAGGGCTGCCACCAACCAGAGCTCAAGGATGTCTTTTGGGTGGCAACCAATCAGAATACAGGGAATCCTGCTGTCTGCGTGCTAAGGCCAATCAGAGCACAAGGAATCTGGTTTTGGTCACAGCCAATGAGCACAGGGAACCCTGCTGCTGCTGGCCATAGCCAATCAGAGCACAGGGAGTCCTGCTGGCTGATGGCTGCAGCCAATCAGAGGACAGCCCTCCCCCATCCCAGACAGCCAATCAGAGCCAAAGGGATCCCCTTCCCCTCCTCCAATGGGCTGGGGGGATCCCGGCACCCCCTGGTGCCACCTGGGACTGGGGCCTTCAGGGGTGGCCCCTGGCCCCCCCCGCCCGGGGGTCACCCCGCACTTTGGGGTGATCCCAAAACTCCGCAGTAGCCCCAGACCTCCAGGGTGACCCCACACCCAGTGATGTCCCTGGATCCTGGGGTGTCCCCATGTCCCAGGGTGGTCCCAGACACCTGGAGGTGGCCCCAACCCGTGCCGTGGCCCCAGGTGACCAACAGTGCCCCCGGACCCCCAAGGTGGCCCATACCATGGGGGGGCCCCACTGCTGCCTCCAACAGCCCGAGTGGGTCCCAGACCCTGGGGTGTCCCCAGACCCCCAAAGGGACCCCAAGACCCTGGGGTGCCCCAGACCCTCACAAGGACCTCCACATGTTGGGGTGCCCCAGGAGGACCTCAAAACCTTGGGGCACCCCCAGACTCCCAAAGAGACCCCACACACTCTGGGGTGCCCCAGGAAGACCCCAAAACCTTGGGGCGCCCCCAGACTCCCAGAGAGACCCCACACACTCTGGGGTGCCCGAGGAGGACCCCAAAACCCTGGGGCGCCCCCAGACTCCCAGAGAGACCCCACATACCCTGGGGTGCCCCAGGAGGACCCCAAAACCCTGGGGCGCCCCCAGACTCCCAGAGAGGCCCCACACACCCTGGGCTGCCCCAGGAGGACCCCAAAACCCTGGAGCACCCCCAGACTCCCAGAGAGACCCCACACACCCTGGGGTGCCCCAGGAGGACCCCAAAACCTTGGGGTGCCCCAGACCCCCAGGGTGTCCCCCAGCATTGTGGGGTGCCATCAGAGCCCCAGACGACCCCAACACCCCAAGGTACCCCAGACCTTCCAGGGGACCCCAATACCATTGGGTGCTCCAGACCCTCCAGGGAACCCCAAAAGTCTGGGGTACTACCAGATTCCCAGAGGGACCCCAACACCTCGCCCCAGACCCTCTGGGGGACTCAAATCCCTGGGGTGCCCCAGACCCTTCAGGGAACCCCAACACCGTGGGGTGCTCCCAACCCCTAAAGGGACCCCAACACCCCAAGGTGCCCCAGATCCCCAAGGGGGACCCCCCCACCCCCTGGGGTGACTCCAGACCTTCCGGGGAACCTCAACACCCTGGAGTGTCCCAGGAGGATCCCAACACCCAGGGCTGCTCCCAGGCCCTCCGGGAAACCCCAATACACTGGGGTACCCCTGATCCCCGAAGGAACCCCAACACCCTCGGGTGCCCCAAACCTCCAGGGAGATCCAAATCCCCGGGATGCCCCAACACCCTCAGAGGAACCCCAAAACTCAAGGGTGCCCCCGTCCTGGCACCTGGGTGGTTCCCCAGCCACACTCACCATCCTCGCCGCAGCCCTGCACCGGGGGTCCCCGGGGCGCCCCAGCTTTTGTCCCCCACCTTATCACCCCGAGCTAAATCGGGCGGCGGATGTGGGCGGGTGGCCGAACCAAACTTGGTGCTGGCACTGGGCGCTGACACCGCGGGGCTGAGCCGGACACAAGCCAGGCCGGGCCCCCCAGGTGTCACCGGAGGGGTGGGGACACTATTTTTGGCTGGGAAGGAAGGCCGAGCTGTGGCATTCCGGAGCATGAAACAGCCCCGAGGGGTGGGGGCCACCCATGTGCCCCTGTTTGGGGTGCTGGTGGGAGCAGGATTTAGCCCTTGGCGGGGATTCATGCTCCTTTTTGGGGGGTCACTGTTGGGAGGGGGAGGCTGGGGTGCCCCCAGGCTCTGCTCCCCACCCTGTCCCCATTGCAGGGACAACGCTGGAGGGGGATCCCCCAAAATTGGTGCCCCACAGCATCCAGCACAGCTCCAGCATACCCCGGTCAGTCTCTGCACCCCTGGGGCTCACTGATGGGGGCCAGCCTGACCCCCTCTGACCCCCAAGTACCCCCCCAACCAGCCCCTTATCTCTCAGCCAAATCCCCACAGGGATCTAACCCCCAGCCAAGGGTCTGGGGGGGGCTGTGCGGAAGCCCCACTCCCTGCAGCTGGGTGAAGATGCAGGGGGCTGGGGGAGCAGAGGAAGACCCCTGGATGCCCCACACGTGGGGGGGGGGGCGGCCTGATGGGGGAGGGTCTCCCTGCAAGCGCAGGGGACACAAGGAGCTCTCTCTCAAGCGGCCCCGGAGGAGAAGTCCACGCAAACCCCGTTTATTGGGGAGCCGGGAGCCGCCTCTGCTGGCAGCAAATCCCTTCCCACGTCCATCTCTGCTCCTCGCAGAGCTCCTCACAGGACCGCCGTCCTCCCACACCCCCCCCGCCATCCTCATCCTCATCCCCATCCTCCCCCCCCGAGTCCTCTCTCACTGCCCCATCATGCAGGCCATTTTGCAGGCGACAGCCGAGATGAGCGCGGCCCCGCGCCCGCTGCCTTCCTCTGACTGGATGAAGGTGATGTCGCAGCCGGGCGTCAGCTGCCGAACCGTGGCATGGAAGTGATCCTTGAAGCTGCCAGAGGGGAAAAAAACAAACAAACAAACAAACAAACAGGGTCAAGGCTTGGGGGATGCAGGAGGAGGAGGAAGGGGATGGTGGCAGGTGGCAGGATCCCAGGGATCCTCACCTGGGATGGAGCTTGTAGACAGAGCCATCAACCCCCACGGTGATTTTGAGGGTCTCCTGGCTCCGGCTTTCCCGCATGCGGTTGATGACGCCGGCCAGCCCGGCCGAGCACATCTGGGCGGCGCGGGTGGAGACGCTCTCACAGACCATCCGCACAATGTCACAGTCCGTCCCCGAGGGCAGCAGCTCGAAGGCCGTCAGGATGTTGTAGATCTGCTTGCGGTCGATGGAGTCGCTGGGATGGGGGGAAACGGGGTGCGTGAGCCAGGGGACGGGGGGGACACGGGGAGCCCGTGTAGGACAGTTGTAAAGGGCTGGTGTGGGGTGACGGGGCAGGGGACAGCAATATGGGACAGTCAGAGCAGGTTGGTGTGAGGTGACAGGGCACGAGGACCCCAATATGGGACAGAGCAGGCTAGTAATGGGACATAGGGACTCTGATGTAGGACACCCTGGTGTGGGGTGATGCAACAAGGGACCCCGATATGGGACAGCCTGGTGCGGGGTTATGGGACAGGGGACCCCCATGGGGGACACCCTGGTGTGGGGTGATGACACCCCAATGTGCCTGGACCAGTGTGGGATGACGGGACGAAGACCCCAGCGCGGAGCAGCATAGCGGGCTGGTTTGGGGGGTGCCAGCCCCCCCGCTGCGGCCCCGCCAGCCCCGTACCTCTCGATCTGCGACATGAAGCGGGTCTCGAAGGTCCCGCGGGTCTTGAGCTTCTCGGAGGCCTCCCCATTGAAGAGCAGGTTCTCATCCACCAGCTTCAGCAGCACCAGCCGGACGATCTCCCCCATGTACTTCCCCCCGATGATTTTCTCATAGCTGGGGAGGGGGACACACAGGCAAGGGGGCGGCCGTCAGGGCTGGGACCTGGGGGGGGGGGGCCACGTCTCGCGGCACCCCCTCTTTCCTTCCCCCCCTTGCCGGATGCGTCCCTGCGCGTGGGCACGGTGACCAGGGTGAAGGACCCCCATTTTGGGGGTACCTGGGATGAGTTGCTCCAGCTTCAGCTGCGCCCAGCGTGGTGCGGGCGGGCAGGGGGAAGGAGGAGGAGAAGGGTGGGCAGAGGGGATGCAGCTGGGGATGGCGGGGGGGGTGGGGTGGGGGGAACACCCAGAGGAACTGGATCTGTCCTATTCCTTACAGTTGCTGACCGGGGTTAAGTGAGGTCTCGTCCACCACACGATCGTACTCCAGGAGGAACTCGTCCAGCTCCCCCGAGGCACCAAAGGCCCCCCACTCCGTGTTGACGCACATCCGCCCCTCGTCGCCCTCCACCAGCTCCACGTTCTGCATCTCCTCCATGTAGCAGGCGTTGCAGCCCGTCCCTGACGGCGGGAACCGGGGATGGGACCGGCCGGCGGCCGGCGAGGGACAACGCTGACCCGCCGACACCCGCATCCCTCTCACCCCGCTGGCTCCATGGGGCAGCCGGCACCGCAGCTTGGGGGGGCCTGCGCTTGGAGCTGCACACCCCCAGCCCGATGGGGACGGGGAAGCTCAGCCCCCCTGCTCCCCGCCTTGGTCCTGCCCCATAGCCCCAGCTGGGGTCCCTGGGGGTCTCCAGGGCTGCTGCGCAGCGCGGGCAGCCCGGCCTCTGGAGGAGCTGATAAACAGCAGCGCGGTGTTTACCCAGGCCGAGGGGACAGCGCGAGGCAGCGCGGAAAGCCCAGATGGCCGTGTGGTTGATGGCACTAAAGATAGCATGGGTGGGGGGCTGCTTCCCTGCGGGGGGGGGGGGGGGGTGAGGGGCAAAGGAGCCTGTGGGTTTCAAACCCATCTCCACTTCCTGGGCTCCCCCAGCACAGCCGGCACTGGCCGCCTGCAGTGGGTCCTCACCCATACTGATGCCACCGAGAGCTTGGGGAGAGGATGTCCCTCGGGGACAGACATGCGCCATGGGTGACCCCTTACAGCAACCACCCCCTTTCCACCCCAAAGGTGCACCCAGCACCATGCCGAGGCCAGAGTCCCAACCTCAGGAGAGCTCAGCAGGGTGCTGCTGCCAACCCCCCTGTCCTCAGAGTGTGTGTGTCCCCCCCGTCAAAGGACAAGCCCCTGCTCGCAGCAGGGGAGCGTGAGCGGGGCCGTGGGAATGGTCCCCCCCCTCGCCTGCCGCGTGTCCCTGCGGGAAGGGGCCGTCTTACCCACAATCATCCCAACCTCGCACCGGTGATCTTCGTAGTAGCAGGAGATCATTGTGGCCACCGTGTCGTTCACCATCGCCACCACGTCCATCTCGAAGTCCTGGGGAGGGGAGAGGGACCGTCGGGGTCTCACCGGGAGTCCGGGCTGTCTTGCGGCAGGTGGGTCTGGGGTGGGGGGGTCCCCGAGGGTGAGGATGCGTGCATGCATCATGCACAGGTGTGTGCACATGCATGGGACGCCCCTTCCTGGGGACGCACAGGGCTCCAGCAGCCCCGTCACGGGGACAGCTAGGGGGGCCGGGGTCTCCCCGCCGCTGCGGTCCTGGCACAAACCGTACGGATATCTCACCCCTCGCCGTTTGATGGCGTCTCTCAGGAGCCCAACCACATTGTTCCCCTCCGCGCCGGAGGCTTTGAAGCCCTTGGTCCAATTCAGGAGGATGCCCTGGAGTGAGGGTAAGACCGAAATGGGGCTGTGGGTGCAGCTGGGTCATGGGGACCCCCAAGTCCTCGTGCTGCCCAGCCACCCCCTCACCTTGTCAATGTCCTCGTGCCGCACAGGGAAGGAGAAGGTGAAGCCCAGGGGCAGCTTTTTGTGCTTCATCTGGTGCTTGTCCAGGAAATCTGAGATGCACTCGGAGATGTAGTCGAAGAGCTGGAAGAGGTGAGGTCCGGCCTTCGCCAGGGGCTGTCCCCAACCTCCCACTGCCCACCGCGGGCCACTGTCCCCACCACAGGGCCCCTGAGCATGGCCACTTCCCCGCCACACCCCGGCTGCTGCCAGCTGGAGGGATGTGGGATGTACCCGCCGGTGTCCCCGCCAAAACGCAGCACTGTGTGTCCCTGTCTGGTGACAGGGACCGTGCAGGAGGGGACGGGATGCCCCGTGTTGCCCAGCTCACCATCTCGGCCGTCCCTGTCATGGCATCCTCTGGGATGGAGTACATCTGGTGCTTCGTCTTCACCTTCCACTGCCCTTCCTCCCCCTCGCCCACTTTCACCAGCATCACGCGGAAATTGGTGCCACCGAGGTCCAGTGACAGGAAATCTCCAACCTCTGCGAAGCCAGGGAGAGGGGACACAAAGTGACCGGCTCAGGGGGGGGTCTTGGCCTCCCGCACCAAGCTCTGCAAAGTCCGAGGAAGAGGTGACATGGCAAAGGACCAGGAGTGACGCCCATCCAGCCTGGCAGCACCATACCTGAGCCCTCAGGTGTGGAGCGGACGTAGGTGGGCAGCATTTTGACAGAGGCTTCCTCATGTGTCTCCAGCTTTAGCCCTCGGTCCATCTCTTTTTGCATCCGGTACATCACCTTCTTCAGGTCCTCCTCCTTCAGACGAAACTCCGACAGGATCCGCTCCACCTGTGGTGGGACGCACAGCATCAGCTGGGGGCAGGGGATAGGGGATGCGGGTGGCCTGAACCGCAATAAATTATCCACATTTTCCTTCCCCTGGCCCTGCTTTTCCCCATCAGCGCGCAGACACCCCGAAACCCCTTATCCCATCTCTCCGCTATCCTGCCTCCACCCTGACATGCTGGTGACTCTGCAGGAGTGGCACAAGCTGCTGCTGGCCCCAAATCCTCTCCCGGTGCTGCCTGTGAGATGTCCACGGTCAGCACAGGGGTCCCCGTGCCATTGCTTTCAGCTGGTTGTTTTTTCCCGAGCTCGGCTGGTTGCATTGAAGTCAGCTCCATTCCAGCCGGGCTTGGAGCAGTGACCTGGGACATCCCATCCTGCCAAATCCCAGGGTCTTTCCCAGCAAGAAGTACTTCCAGCGATGCCGTTTAGGAGCTCAGTGGGACCCCTCTGTGTCTGCAATGAGGATGCCAGCATCCACCTTCGTCCCCCGCGAGCCGGGAGTGTCCCTCTCCCTGCATCCCCCATTTTCCACCCACCAAACTTGGTGCAAACAGAGGGCCGAGGGCAGGCGGGCGGGCAGGACCGTGGGCGGAATATAAAAAGTATTATCAGGAAATGCTCCCTTGCCTCGCTACCAGGGAAATTCACAGGGCCCACTCAAGAGAAGCGCCTGGCAGGCAGGACCTGTATTTACCCTTTACGTAGCAACCCCGGGCTCCACCGCCGGTGCAGCCTCCATTAGCCACGGCACGTAATTGGGGGCAGGCAGCCCCGGGCTGTCAGATGGAGCCGGGGGGGAGAGCGAGTGCTTGCTGCCCGGCCAGATGTAGCTGGCGGCATTAGAGGGCTCATTAGTCACCGGGATCCGGGCAAGCTTAAAACACTCCTGCTTGCACTTTCACTAGCAGACGGATGTTTTCCTCAAGGCTGCTGCTGTTTCCCGATGTGTTTCAGGGTGGGGGGCTCTGTAAAAAGGCTTTGGGATGTGGTTCGGAGCATCCCGGCATCAGGAGAGCACTCACTGCGGCCGCTCACCCTGACCCCCCACCCAGTGCATCCTGATAAATCACCTGGCCTTGAACACCATCCTTCAGCCTCCAGCCCCTCGAGGAGGGGCTCATCCCAAATATCTCCTCACCCCAAAAGCTCCTGCCTCGCAGAGCCCTTATGCCTTGGGGGCCTCGGCCATCACCCACAGCCGGGGGGGGATCCTGGCACCCTCCCTGGTCCGCCCGGGGTGCCAAAGCCCGGGCGATCCGTTAGCACAGAGCCCCCGAGGTGCCGCTGGACAAGACACGGCTGCACGACAGGGGACACGGCTGTGCCAGGCGATGCCACCAGCCACCTTGGAAAGGGGTCTGGGCAGCCCGAGGCAGCCCCGTGGTGAGGTCTGCCATGACCCCGAGGGGGTTCAGACTGGGCCAGCTGGAAAAATCCTGCCTGGAAAAGTGCAGAGCTGGATTGGACCATCTTGCCAGAGCCGGCAGCTGAAGGTATTCGGCGCTCCACAGTGCAGAAGCTGTCCTGCAGCACCATTCGGCACATGAACGTCAAATTTGCCTTTCCTGGAGGGTCCCCATCCCTGGGGCTGGAACCCGAGGATGGTAGCAGAGGGTCTGAGTTTTATTTCTCCAATAGTTTTTCCATCTCAGGTGCTGCGTGACCCATCTCATCCCTTCTCTCGCCTCCAAAATGATGGGTTTGGTTCTTCCTCCACAGGATTTGGCTCTTCTCATACAACCGATACCGTCTCTCAGCTTCCCAAGGGAAATGTTTGCTCTGACGCATCTCGCAAATGGGACAAAGCAGGAAACCGTGCAGCTGAATGCTGTGGTGGCTGGTGATGCCCAACTCCGTCAGCCACGCACTCCTGCCCCCAGCATGTGCCGTGTCCCCTTGGTGTCCCCTTGGATGTCCCAGTCTGGAGCTGGGAAGAATCTTGCTGTCCTCACCCATCGCCCCGCGAGCTCAATCCATCAGGGAGAGGAGGTAGGAGCAGCGGCTCCCAGCCAACGTTTGCCTGAGGATGAGCTGGGCGCTGTCCTCCTGGGTGCTTCGGTGACAACGGTGATGACCAGCCGAAGGAGGTGACAGGCCCCATCTCATCCCGGGGACAGCAGCCACTTGGCTGGCAGCGAGGCTCCAAGGGCGATGCCTGGACGGCGGGAGCATCCCAGCCAGGCAGCACGGTCCCACCGGCACCCCTGGCTCTGTCCCGAGTCCTCGGGTGGCATGGGGACAGGGCCTGGCCTGTGCCGTGCCATGACCCGGCACAGCAAAACACAGAGCCTGGCGCTGGGTCCCCTCCCTGGAGGGTGCTGGGGGGTGACCTCTGGGATGGGGTCCCCCCCCCCGGGCACATTGGGACTGACCCCAGGCTGCCTGGCTTCGCCCCCGGAGCCGGCGCCCTCCCCTTCCAGCTACCTCCATCCCCAGCGGGGACGTTCCCCGGCTGGTGATGCCCGCAGGGATGCTGGCAGCCCTGGGGAGGATCCATGCCACTCCCTGTATGCCCCCCACTCAGGACCATCCCGGCAGCGGCCTCACCTTCTCCTTCCTGCCACTCTCCATCCTGGCTCGGTGATCCAGCATGGGGGCAACCGTCGGGGCGGGGTGGGCTGCGGGCCAAGCCGTCGCCCCCCCAACCCTCGGGCACCCCGCCGCGGTGCCTGGCCCGGGGAGCAAGCCCCCTTCCCCGTCCTGGCTGTGGTCCGGCCGGCGCTGGGCTGCTCCGTCCCTCGCTGCGCCGGGGGATGCTCCACTTTCGCCGCTTTATCTCATCCAACACTCAGCGGCGGCTGCCTCCTCTCCAGCACCCGCTGAGGGGGGGTCCTGACCTTCCCCCCCCCTCCCTCCTCCAGACCCTCAAGCAGAGGGGCAGGGAGCGGGGCCCCGCGCCCTGACGGGCTCAACCCTCTCACCCCGCATCTCGGGGCCGCAGCGCCGGGGTTGGGAACGTGGATTGCGCTCTCCCCGCTCGCAGCCTTTTAATCAATTTATTTGCAGGGGCGCCGGCTGGTTGTTTTCAGCCCCCGGGGTGGCGGGGGGGGTCCCAGCGCTGGGAAGTCCTGGCGTGGGGTGGCGAGGTTTGGCCGGGACCCCTCCCCAGCGGGGACCGCTGGCCCCCGTCATGCGAAGCACCACGCCCCGGGGCCACCCGTTGTCCCCCCGCTCCAGTTGTCATATCAACGGCTCGATGTGCGGTGGCAAGCACTCCACCGGACGGCTTAGCAACCCGGCACGCTCCCATGGAGACCGCATGGGCCGGAGGAGCCGGGTGGCTCCATGACAAAGGTTATGGCCACCCGGTGAGGGGCAAGGGCGACCGGGAGGTGCTGCGCGCCCCCAGGATGGGGGAAAAATACCCCCCCCCAAAAAAAAAAAAATCCAAAAAACAAAAAGCTCCGGTGATGCCAGGATTAGGCGCTGGGCGCTGCAGAGGGTGAACAGCTGGTGGTTTGGGGGGGGATGGTGATCCCCCCCTCTTCGCTGCAGGTGGGCCGAGTGTTGAGGGGGCCCCTGGTGGACCCCCAAAACCTGCCGGTGTTGGTCCATGGCAGCGCCCCCGCAACGTGGAGAGGGTGTCTGGGAAGACGGGGGGAGCTGGCACCCCCACGGGAGAACGAAGGGGCGCTGGGGTTTGGGGGTGTCACTGCGGAGCCTGGGGGGTGGGGGCACAGGGTCACCCTACAGCACCCCATCCTCACCGTGGGGGCACCTGGGGAGGGCTCAGGCAGCCATGCCCCGGCCATGGGTGCCCCCCCCACGGGGGAGCTTGGCCCTAGAGAGGGGTCTGCAGCCCACACAGGGGTCCAAAACTTTTTTTTGGGGGGGGATGACGACACACGGGACACGTGTGCAACCACAGGGACCCCCGCCTCACGGGGGGTGCCCACACCGCGGGGAGAAGCCCCCCCACAGAGGGTCCCCGAGCACACGGGGGGGTCACCGCCCCACAGAGCGCCCCGTGGGGGAACCCCACCTCCCCCGCCTCACACCCCCCGCCATAGAGGACCCCAGCCCCGCCCCCCCCCCCCCGCCGCGGAGAGAAGCCTCTCCCCCTGGCACCAGAGCGACGCTGATTGGCCGCCCGGCGCGGAGGCGGGCCGCGCGGGCCAGACGGGGCGGCCTATTGGTCAAGAGAGCGCGGAGAGGGTGGGGCGAGCCTGGCGCGTGCGCAGAGCGGGCGGGGCCCCGTGGCAGCTGCCCGCGGACCGGGGTCACTTCCGGTCTGCCGCGGTTCTGCTTCCGGGTCGGTCCCGGTTCTTGCTCGGCCGCCGCCGCCTCCGCAGCCGGTTCCGGAGCCGCCGGTACCGCGGGCCGGGGGGCTGGGCTGGGGCAGGACGGTTTAGCCGCGGGGGGGGGGGCGCGGGGATTGGCGTCTTCAGCCGGGTTTTACTGGGCAGGTACTGGGCTGTACTGGCGGGGTGGGGGGGGCTGTTCTGTACTGGGGGCGAGGCCTGGGTTAACTGGGCTGTACTAGGGGCGAGTGGGTTAGCCGGGCCGCACTGGGGGGCGAGGGCTGGGTTAGCCGGGCCTTACTGGGGGGTCAGTGGGTTATCTGGGCTGTACTGGCGGGCCCGGGCTATTTGAGCACCTGGGAACCTTCGCCCGGGGTGAGGGTGGTCTCCGGGGCAGGCGGGGGGGGGGGCCGGGGGCTGTCAGTCACGGGGTGGGGGAAGGGTTTGGCCAGGGTGGGGGCTCCCCCAGGTGCAGGGTGGGGGCAAGAGGGGTCCCGGTGAGGCCCAGCTGGGCGGGGCTCTGAGGCTTCTGGCAGCCTACCCCCCATCTCACCCCTCCCCACCCTTCCGGGTCTCCTTCCTCCGCTCAGCACGGCGGGAGACACTGCGATGAGGCTGTACAGCCTGAGTGTGCTTTACAAAGGCGACCCTAAAGTGCGGTTACTGAAAGCTGCTTATGACGTGTCCACCTTCAACTTCTTCCAGAGACCCAGGTGGGTGCCGGAGTGCCGGGTCCCCTGAGGGAGGTTGGGGGATCGATCTCCCCTGTGTGCTGCAGGGCAGGACCTTGGGGAGAGGGGGCAGATGCTTTTGGAGGGTTTTCTTCCCTGTTCTGCTCCTGTGTCCCTGGGGATGTGGCAGCAGCAGTAACAGAAATCTAAGGGATGAACCCACCAGAGACGCTCTGGGGAGCCGTGATCCTGCCTGCATGGCTTGGTGCTGCACAATCCACTGAGCAAGCCTTCAGCCTCAGGAATAGAGAGAAACCTCGTTTCCTCTGAGAGCCACCTAGGGCCAGCAGCAGGTGAGGTTCGACTTGGTAAATCATCCATCATAGCCAAGCGATAAAATCTGGGTTCAGGGAAATACCCTGGGTGCTCAGGTTGGCTGTTCTCCCTCCGGCGGGTGCCTGAGCCGCATAGTCACAGCGGCTCCTGGGGCGTGAGGTGAGTGTGAGGAGGCTTGTCCTTGTGTCAGACTAACACAGCTCGCCTCACATCTCTGGTATCTTTTTATTTAGGTGTTTTGTCTAATCTTAAACTTCACCAAGCCCACAAACATCTGCTCGGGTTATTCTAACCGCTTCAGGTGAGCCAGTTTAGCCCTGAACGCCAATCCGGGCTCCAGGGTGTCCCGCTGCCTGCTCTGTGCACACAGACAGATGACAGAGCTCTCTGAGCAGCTGCCCTTGAGCTTGCAGCTGAGGGGAGCTCCCAAAATCCTCTAAAAGCTGTAAAATAAAGCAGGTGCCTGTTGCAAAACAGCTCATGTCCCAGCCCCCAGCTCCAGACAATAAAGACTTTAGGAAATACTCACCAATGGCGCTCAGATTTTCCATGCCTTGTCCCTGCCAAGATTTTATGGAGCCTCAAGCACATTTGGTTCTACAATTCCAGTGATAAAGGGAAAATGCTGAAATAAGATTGTCTTAAAAAATACTTCCTTAGCCAAATATGCGAGAGGGATAAAGGAGCTGTGCCAGTGCTGCCAACGCACGCGCTCGAAAATGGATTGCAGCGGGTGAAGTAATCTCTTAAAAGCCCAAATTGCTTCGTAGTCGCAGCTCTTGGTTTTCTAAATCCTGAGAAAATTCCCTGTGTCATTTTTGCTGTCAGCTATGGCCGAAAGAGCCACTTCCCTGGCAGCGGGTTGTTTTTGTGCTTAAACAAAGTCTTGGCTTTTTGGGAACAGTGAGGCTGTTTCTGGAGGGTGAGGGGGTGTCTGTGCTTGTTAGTCTCGCAGCTTTTTTCTGGTGATTGTTTCCTGGGCTGGTTCTCTGGTCGTGCTCAGAGGAGCTGCTTGCACCTTGGTTCCTGGGAGAGCACAGTCTGGGTGTGATGTTTAAGGTGTACTAACTTACATTTGGGTTAAAAATACTGCACGTACTTTTTTTTTTTTTTTTTTTTTTGAGGCTGCGGGGTTACCAGAGAGTTGGGTCTGGGGGAGAAATCTGGGAGAAATGCAGCTGTGGTTCCTGGGAGCTGTGAAAACCTGCTGGGCAGGAGGACGGGGCCAGCCTGGCTGTGCCAGCACGGGGTGTCTGCTGTCGATCCTCTGCCGAATAATTTGGGAGGCTCTGAAACACAATGTGAGAAAGCAAAGTCTTCAGTGGGTGATTCCTCCAGGAATACTGTGAAATACTGGAATTGCGATGGATGTGGCTGCCAGCAGATCCCCAGACCAGGAAGAACATGTTGGTCTTCTGTTTCTGCTGAAGTTGGATGTTAAGAAATCTTTGGGCTGGTCTTTCCTCTGCAGCACCTGGAACCCAGCAGTTCAGAGTCTTGGTGGAGCCAATGTCTGATCGGGTGGTGCCTGGGCTGGGAGAAATGCATAAAACCCCTCAGGAATATGAAAACTGTGAGAGGCAAATCCCCATTCTGGAGTTGCTTCCAGTGGTGGAAGGCAGCAATGAAACAGTGATCTTTGCCATGCTGGTGTCTATTGATGTTTTGTTGGCACTGTATCATGTGAAGCTCCCAAGTGGGAGCTGTTGGTGTTGGGGGGTGTTTGAGCAAACTGTCATCTGAGCTTTGAGAGGTTTCCCTTCCTGGAACTTGCCAGCTGAAGTGGGGAATTTGTCGCCTCACGTTCATTAATCCTGGTGTGCACTGGGAACAGATTTATTTTGCACTTGCTCATGATTTTGATCTCTTTTACCGTGGGGTGAAGCGGAGGGTTTACACAATAAGCCTCCTGTTTGGCAGGACACAAGTCTGGGCTCAGGAATGTTTTCCAGACTTTGAGCAAGTCTGGCTTAAGGATATTCCTTAATTTTGACTGACAGTGGTGGGTAGCTGAGGTGTGTTTGCAGGCTGCTGGTGCCTTGCGTGGGATACAGGTGAGGCCCCAAGTGTGGGACAAAAGCTCAGGTGGGAGAAGGGGACGGAGCACCTCCGCAGCCCCTCGCTGCGTGTGAACAGGGTGCAGCTGCTCATCGGGCATTAGCTGGGCAGGTACGTGGTTCAGCAGTGTGTTAATTCCTGCTGAATCACCAAAAAGCAAGTTCAGCCCAAGGATGTGAGTCCCTCGCCACGGCTGGAGGGATGTGGGTGCTCCCCTGGGCCCGCAGGAGCTGGAGGTGTTTGGGTGGTGGCTGCAGCTCTGTGTGCAGGGTCCGGCCTCTTCCCTGAGGAAAACTACAGCTCAGCCACATCCCCACGACCCAAACATGGTGGCGGGGTCCTGGGGGAGGGTTTCAGTCCACTCAAAACACCGAGGACCTGTGGGGCAGATGATCTCCCCCACGGTCACCACGCCAGCACCCCGTAGCTCTCAGGTCCCCTCACAGACTCAAGTGCCGACGCTTTGTTTGCAGTGTGCAGGAATTCATGACCTTCACGAGCCAACTGATTGTGGAGCGCTCGGAGCTGGGCAGCAGAGCCTCAGTCAAGGAGCAAGGTAAGAGGATAACCCAGGGTCAGCATGTGCTTTGTTCCTTCTCCGTTTATGACCAAAAAAGAGATCTCAGAGTGGCGCCCGGGCAAGTAGCACTAAAGGTGTGAGATGGGGGAGCTGAGTGGGAGGCAGCCTGCCCTGTGAGAGGTTATGGTGGAACAAGGACCTGCCTGACACCCAGCTGCCATCTTCCAGCTTCATTACTCTCCTTCCCACTCCAGGATCCTTAGAACTGTCAGGCTGCATGCCCACCACCTCGGCTTTCCCGCTTTGTCCCATCCCCGGCTGCTGTGGTGCCCCCGAGGGAGCCTCCTTCCCCTCTCCCTCGAGCTCTGCCGTGCAAGTTCGGGCTCCATACCCTGATTTCTGACCTTGTCTCCAGCCTCCCCACCCTGATCCACGTGCCTCCAGAACCCTGAGACGCACAGGGTGCGGCCTGGAATTGGCCACCACAGGCTTTTTAATGACACTCCAGCCTCGTGACAAGTTGTTATTTATTAAAATCAGGCCAAGCACTTCCCCCGCTGGCTTTTGTTTAACTCTGGCAGTACCTGCTGCCCTGGAAAGGTAGCATCGTGGCCCGCATCACATGGCCAGGCTGAGGTAACCTGCTGAAGCACAATTCGGGGCTGATTTTGATCTTCCCTTGAGCCCTTCCTGCTCTTCTAATGAAATCATGTGAAATGCCGTCACTGAATGAAGCCAGGTGTGATTCGTGGGTCGTGGAAGAGCTGCTGGGGCCAGGCAGGAGGTGCTGGGGGAGGTTTTGGACTTCCCCGCTGCCTCTCTGACGTGAATTCTCTGCCCAGAGTACCTTTGCCACATGTACGTTCGGAACGACGGGCTGGCTGGAGTGGTGATTGCAGATAACGAGTATCCGCAGCGGGTTTGCTTCACTTTGCTGGACAAGGTGAGTGCGCGGGCCGGGAGGTGACAGGCTCGGTGGGGCTGCTCCGGGGAGCTCCTCCAGAGCTCCTGCTTGTGCCGTGACAAGGAAACGATCCTCCTGCTCATTAACTGGGGGACATTGGAGCTGAGCTGGGCAGGATCTGGCTGGTCCAGAGGCTTCCAAGTTTTGCAGTGGCTTGGCTTTGCCTGCTAGGACTTAGTCCAGCCCTGTTCTGCTGCCAGCCCCGGCGCTGACCTCGCAAACACCCCGTTCTCCCTGTCTGGCTTGGGTTTTATGTGGGAGAACTGGGTGTGGCCACGTTGCCAAAAACTGGTGATGTGTCTGGCTGCCCTGGCAGGGCGCGGGGCTTTGGGGACAGTCGGGGACGGCCACCCCTACCTGGCGTGGGCAGGAAGTTGGTTTCTGGCTCTTCCCTCGGTTCATTCAAAAGGGAACAAGGAGGAGGAGAAAAATCACCTTTTTCAAGGTGAAAATCCCTTCTGCCAGCTACGGCGGCCCCACAGGCAGAGCCACCAGATGGTAACTGCCCGCTTCCTTGCGTTGCAGGTGCTGGATGAATTCTCCAGGCAGGTCAGCAAAATAGACTGGCCTTCAGGATCCCCAGCGACTATCAGCTACACGGCCCTGGACGGGTACCTCAGTAAATACCAGGTACAGCCCCCCCCCGGGTTCTGCGGGGAGGCTGGGAAATGCTTCCCATGGCCCCCAGCTCTGGGGCTGGAAGTGTGGGTGATGCCCGGGGGACACCGATGTCCCCAGGGTGGTGGTGCTGACACCGTGTTGTTTCTCTCCGAGAACCCCCGCGACGCCGACCCAATGACCAGAGTGCAGGCGGAGCTGGACGAGACCAAAATCATCCTGGTGAGGAGGAGGCTGGGCTGGCGTCTGGGACGCTCTGGCTGGTGCATCTGCTCGGGGCTGGGGAGGGCCCGGGATGCCAGCACCGTGGGTCAGCGCCGGTTTCTTTCGGCAGCACAACACCATGGAGTCGCTGCTGGAGCGAGGGGAGAAGCTGGATGACTTGGTCTCCAAATCGGAGGTGCTTGGGGCACAATCCAAAGCCTTCTACAAAACTGTGAGTGAGGCTTTTCATCCCAGGGGGAGGGTCACCCCCTCCCTGAGGAGCCAGGGGTGGCCTGATGCTGAGGAAGGGCAGAATAAACCCCTGGGGCAGAGGATGTGGGTTCCAGGTGAGGATTGCTGGCTGCTGGTGCAGCTGCTTTGGACCTGGAGGGAGCTCGGTTGCCTCAAGCCTGGTTGTGGAGCCCCTCGCTCGCCCCGTGGCCGGTGCAGGGTGATGCTGATCCCGGCTGTGGTGGTTCCTGGCACGGGCGTTGTATGAGAAAGTCAGGTCTGTGCTGTGAGCCTTTGGCACAGGGGCACAGGGCGTTTGCCTTCGTGGGGAGTCGTGAGGGCTGGGACTGTGTCAGGTTCCTCTGTCGGGAGGAGGGCTCCCCTTGGCCCCTGAGGAGCTGCAGCGTGCCTCACTGCCGCTTTTCCTTCTCTTCCCAGGCCCGAAAGCAGAATTCCTGCTGCGAAATCATGTGACGTGGAGCCCCGGGGTCTTGTGCTCCGGACCACCAGGCCTTCACCCCGCTTCGGACCTCGACTGTGCCCAGGACAGAAAGCAGAACCCTGGGGGGCTTCCCCAGGCTGGGCGGCCTCGGCCCCGAGGGCTTAGGTGACTTTATCTTCATCTCGTGGGGGTGCCGAGGCCGAGGCCGGCATCGCGCCGGCACCCCGTGGAGCGGGGGGAGCGCCGGAGACCCGCTGCCCCCGCTTCTCCTGAGGGCGGCTTGGAGCGCGGGGCGCCCAGCTGCGCCCCCTCCCCTGCCCTCACACCCCTAACACTAGCCAGGGCCTCGGCATCTCCCCGGGGAGAGGAGCTGCTTGAGGGACCTGGGGGCGGGGGGGGGCTTTTATGTGTTTGTGTCCTAAGAGTGAACCTGGGGGCGGGGAGGGAAGGGGAGAAGAGGTGCTTTCTCTGGGTGGGGGGGATGCTTGCTGCTGGGTTATCACCCATTGCCTCTCTGGGCAGCTTTTCCCAGAACTGGTGAACTGGGAGCTGTGGTCCATGTGCCCCCTTGCTGCCCCCCCACCCCCGCGCCCCCCCCCCCCCACTGGGGAAGGGGCAGGGCTGAGCTGGTGACAGGGAGGGGGTCACCTCCGGGCCCCTTCCCTCGATTCGCAGCACAGGGAGGGGGAGGTGTGGGAAAGAGCCAAGCTGGGAGGGGGGGGTGGTCCTTGGGTAGCCCACAGCCCCCCTCATTCCCTGGCTGGTGAGGGTTGGGGGTCTGTCCCCCACATTGTGCGGGTGGGGGCAGCATCTGAGCACCCCCCCAGTTCCCAGCTGCCAGGCTGGGGGGGGGGGAAGAAAGCTGGGGCAGCGTGGGGCAGGCTGGAAACAGCCCCAGTGCTGGGGCCCCCCGTGACGGCAGGCAGGGAGTGGGGCCGGGGGGGGGCTCAATGCCTGCCTTGGGGCTCAGCTCCCCGTCCCCTGCTCCTGTCAGCGTGGGGGGGGGCTCGGTGCCTGCCGGGTGAGCAGCAGCCCTCGCTGCCTCCTCTTCCTCCTTTGGAAGGGCAGCAGCTTTTGCTTGAGATTGTCTAGTGATTGGTGTCGCCTATTGTTTCTGTGCCGCTAGCCACAGCGCCTGGGCAGGGATAAAGTTGTCTTTGGCAGTTGTAGCCCGGCTCTGACTTTTTTTTTTTGTGACTTCCCAGGGTGGGGGTCAGGCCGGGCATGGCCATAGGGCCTCCCCCCAGCACCCCAGGCCCACAGGTGGGTGCAGATTCACTCAGCCTTCTCCCTCCAGCTGTTTTGTTTTGTTTTGTTTTGTTTCCTTGGTCAGTTGTTTTTCCTCATAATTTATTTGCAGTTTTCCCAAGACAAAAACGAAATCAGAGTCATCTTTTACACTTACAAGGCTCAGAAAGAAAAGACAAAGGGGTTGGAGGGGGGAATATGCCGGGGGGGGGGGGGGGGGGGGGGGGAACGGGACGGGACAGAAAAAGAATGAGAGAAAAGGGGAGGAGAAGAGAAAAATTTGGCAACGATCCACCAGCATTCATGGGACAGTAACAGCTCAGCTCAGCTCCTCGACATACAGCATTAGCGCTCGAGGTTTGCTCCCGCGCAAAGGGCATGCAGAAAAAAAAAAATGAAATAAAAATAATATCCCCCGGCCCTCCCACCCTGCACCCCCCCCCCCCCCCCCCCCCACACACACCCCCCCCAGCCAAAAACAGCCCCCAGCAACACACGGTGCCTCCGGCCGCAGAGATGGAGGAAGGGAAACCCCGGGGAAAATGCGTGGCCAAACCAGAGAGCGCCCGGAGGGAGGTGATGCCTCCCCCGGGGAAGAGGAGTTCGGGGGGGGGGGAGATGGGGTCCCCCCGAGTGCTGGCCGGGGGGGAAGGGGTGCGGGAGGGGAGCGAATACCCTCGGCCGGAGCCGGGAGCGCTGCCCGGTGCCCCTGTGCCGGGGGAGGGAGCGGTGGGGGGGCACCTGGCGGAGCAGCCTGTGCCCCCTAAGAGACCCATTCTCTTAGTCTAAAGTGCTTTCGATGCTGCGTCAGTGCTGGCTGGATCGCCCCGAGCCCTGCCGCCTGGGCCACATCCCGTCCCCCCCCCCCAGCCACCCCCCCAGCCCCATTATGTGGCACCCACATCCCCCCACCCCCCAAAACCCCAGCACCCATGCCAAAACCTGCCAGCACCCAGCCACCTGCCTGCCCAGGGAGGGGGAAAAGAGGTGCTGGGTGTGCAGTGTTTGTCATCGGGGGGGGGGGGGGGCCATGGGGGTGTCTGCCAGGGGACCCTCCCAAAAGCACTGCCCCCCCCCCCCACCCCCGCCCCAGCAGCGATTGGGATCAACCTCGCTCCCCTGTGGGCATCGCTCCTGGGGCCAGCGCCAGACTTTTTTTTGGGGGGGGGAAAGGGGGCCCATTTCATCCCGCCCCACCCCCCCCGCCCCTCCACTTACCACCCAGCAGCCCCCCAGCCCGCAGCACCCAATGGCCGGGGATCCCCGTGGGAATTCAAAAATAAAGAGCTCTCTCTATGTACAGGGACCGGGGAGGGAAAGAGCGAAAGCAGAGTCCAAAGAACAACATCCACCACCAGCAACAGCGAAATGCCACAAGCACAGCCAGGGAAGGGGGGCGGGGGGGGGTCGAGACCCCACCCCGCCACCGCCCCCCTCCGCCAGCCGGGAGACACCCCCCAGGCAGAGATGGGCAGAGAGGGGGGGGTCTGGCTGCGGGGTGTCCCCCCCAGTACCCCCTGCCTGTGGCCAAGCGGCTGGGTTGGTTTTTGGGTGTGTGTTTGGTTGGGTTGGGGTCTGGTTTATTTTTTTCCACCCCCCCCTTTTTTTTTTTTTTCTTTTTTTTTTTTTTTTTGTTGTGTTGTTGACATTGTTTTGGGTTTGTTGTGGTGTTTTGGTTTTTTTTTTTGTGTTTTTTTTTGTTTTTTTTTTGTCTTTTTGTTTTCTGCAAACACAGGCACTGGAGGGGGGGGGGGAGGAGCAGGGGCCGGGGCACAGGGTGGGGGGACAGGCATGCGGACGCGTGCTTCGGGGCCGCAGCTCCGGCTGCCGGCTCGGCTCCCATCGCCGTCTCCGTCGGGCTGGAACCAGGACAGGACAGCCAGTGCGAGCTCTGCGGGGATGGGGGACCCCCCCCTCTGCCAGTGAGCCAGAACCGGGGCACCCCAGCGCCCCTCCCTAACCCCGCGCCCGCGCTCACCTTCACTGGAGTGGGGCGACGGGGGCCCCCGAGCCGTGGAAGTGGACGTTCTGCCACTTGCCGTCGCGGCGGTGCCAGACGCGGGTCTCCTCCGACTGACTGGTGCGGGGCCGGCCCTGGGCGTCGATGTACTGGGTGAGGCGGATGTAGGCGATGCAGGCGGCATCCTCCCCGATGACGTGCACGTGGGGGTTCAGGATGGTCGTGTGGATCGGCTTGTTGTTCTTGGAGAGCACTGCGAGGGGTTCGGGGAGTGTTGGGGGGGGGGGGGGGGGGGGAGCGGCTGTCAATGGGGTGGGCAGGGGTGCGGGCAGGGCAGGAGGGGAGGGGTTGGACGGGCAGGTCTGGGGGGGGCAGGGTGGATGGACGGACAGGCGGGAGGGACAGGCTGGCATTGCGTGCAGGCAGGGAGGGATCCAGCATAGAGGGGTGGAGGGACAGGCAGGACAGATGGACAGGCAGACAGGATGGGTAGATGGGCAGGGAGGGGGCAGGCAGGATGGGCAGGCAGGCAGAGGTGGGGGGATGGACACACGGATGGGCAGAGGTGGGGGGACGGACACACGGACAGGCAGAGGTGGGGGGACGGACACACGGATGGGCAGAGGTGGGGGGACGGACACAGGGATGGGCAGAGGTGGGGGGACGGACACACGGATGGGCAGAGGTGGGGGGACGGACACACGGACGGGCAGAGGTGGGGGGACGGACACACGGATGGGCAGAGGTGGGGGGACGGACACACAGACGGGCAGAGGTGGGGGGACGGACACAGGGACGGGCAGAGGTGGGGGGACGGACACACAGACGGGCAGAGGTGGGGGGACGGACACACGGACGGGCAGAGGTGGGGGGATGGACACACAGACGGGCAGGCAGAAGATGTGGGCAGCGGGCAGGCAGAGGACAGGCAGGGGAACGGGATGGATGGACAGAGGGACCAAACAGGGGACGGGGCAGGAGCTGGGCACGACAGGCAGAGGCGAGGCGAGGGCTGGGAGGTTTGGACGGACAGATGGACAGGAAGGAAGAGGGCAGGGGACAGACAAGATTGCCTGGCAGGCGCGTGGAGGGGAGGACGGGGACAGATAAGGCAAGAGAAGCAGGGGACAGCCAGGCGGGGGGAGGGGGGGGGGGACACACAGCCAGGCAGGGGGACGGGCAGGACAGACGGCGAGACAGGCAGGACAGACCTGGGGCCAGGCTGGGGGCCGGGTAGAGGGAGAAGAAGGATGGGCCAGGCAGGGAGGCCGCAGGCAGGGAGCGGGCTGGGCGAGGGTAGGGAACGGGCAGCACCGGGCACTCACGGTTTTCGAAATAGAAGCGGTGGAAGTCCATGCCCTCCACCAGGTTGCCCAGAGCCTCAGGCTCGAAGGAGGTGAGCCCGGGGTCACAGATCTTCCTGCAAGGCACTGGGTGAGCAGCGGCCCCACCCAGCCCCGCCCAACCCCGCCCAACCCCACCCAGCCCCGCCCAGCCCCGCCCATGGGTCCCCACTCACGCGTAGGCCTCGAAGTCCCCGTTGTTGACGGCCTCGATGAGCTGCTCCGTGATCTTGATGATCTCCTGCTTGCGAGCTGGAGGGGGGGGACGGGGGGGGGGGACACGGCCAGTGTCAGCGCCCGTCCCCATCCTCATCCCCCCGTCCCCGCATCGGGGTCCCCTGGGCTGGAGGGGAGGGATGGGGGGGAAGGGACGATGGAGATGGGGGGGGGGGGGGGGGCAGAGGGGAGAGGGACGGACACACGCCTTGGAGATGTGGGATGGACATGGTGACATGGGACATGGAGAGGGGACATGGGGGGGGGGCGTGGGGACAGACACACAGGCCACAGGGACAGAGAGACAGACACGGGGACAGCCACAGACACCATGGGGACAAACAGGCAGGCCACAGAGACAGCCACAGAGATCATGGGGACAGACAGACAGACACAGGGACAGCCACAGAGACCATGGGGACAGACGGACAGACACAGGGACAGCCACAGAGACCATGGGGACAGATGGACAGACACAGGGACTGCCACAGAGACCATGGGGACAGACGGACAGAAACAGGGACTGCCACAGAGACCATGGGGACAGACAGACACAGGGACAGCCACAGAGACCATGGGGACAGACGGACAGACACAGGGACAGCCACAGAGACCGTGGGGACAGACAGACACAGGGACAGCCACAGAGACCATGGGGACAGACTGACAGACACAGGGACAGCCACAGAGACCATGGGGACAGACGGACAGACACAGGGACAGATGAACACAGGGACAGCCACAGGGACCATGGGGACAGACAGACGGACACGGGGACCGCCACGCGCCCGGGGCAGCTCTGCCACACCAGGAACAGTGTCCCCATGGTCCAGGGGTCCTGTGCTCTTCCAGCATGTCCCAGCGCTGCCCAGTGCCCTCCCAGTGCCAGCTCACCATGTCCCAGCGCTGCCCAGTGCCCTCCCAGTGCCAGCTCACCATGTCCCAGCGCTTCCCAGTGTCTCCCCTGCATGTCCCAGTACACCCCAGTGCCATTCCGGTGCATCCCAATACATCCAGTTCCATACCAGTACCTCCCAGTGCCACCCCACTGCATCTCAGTGCCACTCCAGTGCGCCCCAGTGCCACCAATGCGTATTACGGGAGATCCCAGTTCCATGCAAGTGCATCACAACACATCCCAAAGCGATCCTGTCTCATCCCAGTGCGGGCCAGCGCTGGTCCGGCGCACTCCAATACATCCCAGTTCCACCCCAGTGTAATCCTGCTGCAACCCAGCGACACCCCAGTACATTCCAGTGCCATCCCAGTGCGAGTGCTCCAGTACCATTCCACGGCATCCCGCTACACCCCAGTTTACACCAGTACATCCCAGGGCCACCGCAGTGCATTTCAGTGCAACCCAGTGCCAGCCTACTCTTCCCAGTGACCTGCTGGTACATTCCAGTTCAGCCCAGTTCCATCCCAGTGTCATGCTCTTGGATTCCAGTGTGTTCCAGGGCACCTCAGTGCAATCCCAGTGTGTTCCAGTACCATTCCAACGCAGCCCACTCCGCTACATCCCAATGCCTCATTTCATCCTGATGCCACCCCAGTGCTACTCCAGTGCGCACCAGTACAGCTCAGTTACATCCCAGTATGTCCCACTTCATCCCAGTGATAACCCCCTGCCTCTCAGTGCCGATCTGCTGTGTCCCAGTGCTATTCTAGTGCATCCCAATACATCCCAGTTCCATTCCAGTGCCTTGCAGTAGCATTCTACTGCTTCCCAGTGCACCCCAGTACCATTCCAGTGCATTCCAGTAGACTCCAGTCCCATCCAGTGCATCCCACTGCCATGCCAGTGCATCTCCATTCATCTCAGTACTATCCCACTGTAACCCAGTGCATTCCAAGTGCCATCCCAGTCCACTCCTGTGCCACCCCAGTATG